CCCCAAATTTGGCACAGAGCAAGAACAGACTGTCTGCTACATCTGTGCCAGACATGGTGCTAAGCTCCCACAACATGGGAGCTTTGAAAAACTACTGAAGAAGAGAGGCTTTCAAGGCACAGGAACAGATGCTTTGGCATACAATGACTAAATATGGAAGCTTAAAGGTGCCAGTCTACTTAAAGAAGATCATAGGAATAGAGAAGCATCCTTATGCATGTCGGACAATTGGGCCATTGAGCTCACTATTGTCTACAGCAGCAGGCAGCAAGCAGATTACAAGCATCTCAGACATGTTTTTGTTTTTTAACCAGGACTTCAAGGACTATCAATAGGCAGACATCCACTCAAAGAATTAAGGAACTGAGCACTGCTGAGCAGATGATTCAAACCAGAAACATCTTTCAAGTTGCAGCATAAAGCTAGTAAGTCTTTCACAGACGGGGCATAAGTGCCTCCCAACACTTTTCCCTATTTCAGTAACTCAATTTAGAAGGGCAAGAGGCACAGTTTTCATTATTTACTATTTATTAGTTACACTTTTATCCCGTATTTCATCCAATCAGCTCGGGGTGGCATATGTGGTTCTCCTCCCCTCCATATCTTATCCCACCCAATATAATTCTCCACTTAGTGAAGACTTGACTCTTCAATTTATTAAATCATTGCAAGCCAGAAAGCTTTGTAAATATATTCAAATTACTAGAAATCAGTAGAACCCCCCCCCCAAATCTCTTTTTTGTTACAGGTGTCTAAATATATTCAAATTACTAGAAATCAGTAGACACCCCCCCAATCTCTTTTTTGTTACAGGTGTCTAAGACTGAACCCAGGACCAAAAGCATATGATCTGAGCTACTGGTCCTATTTTTGTAAACTTCCATCCTTTGCCAGGGAACAGCTGACCAAAGGAGTGAAGAGTTGCCCTCAGCAGGGATGATACAACAGTTGAGAACAGGGAGGAACTGAAGTTTTCAACCTGGAAGATGGATCAGAGGAACACCAGGTCAGTTCCCTAAGATACCTGAAGAGTGATACAAAGCACTGTCTGAGACAAAAGGCAAGACGCCTCGCTCTTCCTGTATCCTGCACAGTGAGTCTTTTTTTCCCCTCTTTCAATCAGAGCTTCAAAAGCAAGCAAGCCATCTTTTTGGAATTACAGTTCCAAGCATCCTGCCCTCAGAAAGGACAGCCAGGGGTTATGCTAGATGGAGATTGTCTGGAAATTGTAATCCAAAAAGGAAACTTTTGTAAACTCTGATGTCAATATTCAAAAGGGGGCATGTTTTTCACACACTTTGAAGGTGGCAGGCTAGTTCAAGAGATCATGAAAACTATGTGGCACACAGAGCTATGATGAAGAGGATCAGCCAATGGGCTAACACTGCTACCCACCAAAATTTCCTGCTTAAGGCAGTTGCCTTACTCTACCAAACGGTAGAGTAAGTTACCAACATCTCTTGCCAGGACCGCTTGAACACAAGTAGTATATGCTTGTACCGCTAAGCTAAGTTCCTGGTTTCCTCACTTCTACAATGACGAAGCCTGCGTTATAAAGAATGCATATAATAAACAGTAGGAGCAAGCTTGAGTCATTCCCTGGTTTCTTAATAATCTCTCAAGTGGTTTTATAATAGTTTTGCTTCACAGGGCTCATCCATGATTGTACAGATGCATTACAAGCATCAATAGGAGAATAAATGTTAAAAATGCAAGACGGGAGAGTCCTGCTGGGGCAGCTGCTTGACAAGAACAGCTTCCAAAATTAAGAGATGCAAAGGTCTCTGAACTGAGTCACAAGCCAAAAAAAAGTGAATGTTTGGGAGTAGTGGTGAAGAGAGAGGACTTGTGTGAAGAAATGAATGTTAGTTCATTATTAAATGCATAAAATGATCATACAGAAGGGGCAGATTAGAAGAGATAGAAAAACTTGATGCACTGAATAGTCCCTTTTTCAATGTTGAGAAAATAAAATGGGGTGGGTGATAAATAGGACTGGGCTAAAACAACAATCAACTCAGTGTACTGGGATGTTCAACAAATGATTAACATATGGATTTAAAACATCTAATTAAGCTAGTTAATTAGAATTCAATTTGCTGCTGTTACAAGTTACATAATAAGTTGTTAATCATGTATAATTAAAATAACATAAAATG